GGATAATTAATAGGAAGAGCACGATAACTTAAACAGGTAGACTGTAAAGTCTACAGCATACACTAAAAACAGGGACAGGGCAGGAGGTGGACAGAAAGAACATATTCAAAACAAAGCAAAATGAAGATCTGAATCCAATCACATCAGTGATTACATGAAACGTAAATGGTCCCAATTCTCCAATTAAACAGCAAAAATCATCAGACTAGATTACTAAGTAAGACCGAAGTATGCTGGCGATGACAAATTCACTTCAAAGACAAAGATATAATACACTGTCAGTAAAAGCCAACACTAGTCAAAATATAGCTGGAATAGCTATAGTGATATCAGACAATGTAGTTCAAGGCAAAGGACATGGCAGTGGACAAAGATGGTCACTTCATAAGGACATATTTCATAATGACAAAAAGGCCAATTGACCAAGAAAACATAAAAACCCTGTACAAGTGAGGGAGAACTTTTCAGAGCTTTTCAATGATAAGAAGCAGCCTGCTGCAGCACGTGTGCTCCAGGTTCCCACCAGGGCCTCTACACACCTGCTAGTACATTTGCAACACACATTAAGTAAAAAAAATTATAAACTGGATGGAAAAAACAGACAAAGCTACAATCCTTGTTGAAAGTTTCAGAGCACCTCTTTCAATAATGGACAGAACACATACAAAAAATATCAGTAAAGACACAGACAATCTGGTTACCATTACCAGCTAGCTTGCCCTCACTGACACCTACTCAGCATCCTCTCTGGTCCTTGGATTGCACATTCTTTTCACAGACCCAGGGAACATTTTCCAAGATAGATCACATTTTGAGTCACAGAATGGGCCTCAACATATTTTAAATTCCAATTATAACAAGTATGCTCTTTAGCTACAATGAAATTACATTAGAAATCAGTAACAAGACGATGTCTGGAAAGCCTCTAAATATTTGGAAACTAACAGAGTTCTAAGAATTAATGAACAACTACCTGTTTTGAAGAAATTTTACCTATTCTAAGAAATGTTCCCTAGATGATGACCAGTCAACAAACCCTGTGTGTTTTGTCTTGGCTATCAAGCAACAGGGCTAAACAAAATGTTTAACCACAATAATCGTATCTGCTCTTAAATAGCTCTTTAGGTGACTCAGCTTGAACACCCACTAAATGGCTTGCACAGTCTAGGGGCCACAACACAGTTCTTGCTCTAAAGCCCATCTTAGTGGCCAGGGGGCTCCTGTAGACTATATTTGTTTTTTTTTTTTTACATTTTTTTTTATTTTTTAATTTGTGTGTGTGTGTGTGTGTGTGTGTGTGTGTGTGTGTGGCCAGCTCAGCCCACCAGGGGGCGGGGCTGGCTGGCATGTGGTGCTGGGGGATTGAACCGCGGTCCCTGTGCTTTGTTTAGCTTAGCTTGTTCTAAGTAGGTGCTTTAGACCACTGAGCCATCTCACCAGCCCCATGTAGACTATATTTGTAAAGCTCAACTACTTTCCTTTACTGAAAGTCTCTTATTTTGTAAAGCATGTTCTTTTAAAAACTGCCTTCAATCTTTACAGAAACAGCTGGTTGTCCCTTGGCAGATCTAATAGTGCACAGAATTTTAATAGCAGCCTATGTTAAGTACAATTCAAATGTATGAAATTATAAAACATTTAGTAAGGCCAAACACTGACAGGTTTTTCTGGATGATGATTTACAGCAGTGCTCCTCTCTCTTGGAATAAATAACCTAGGTTTCAGTATCTTTAAATACATCATCAGCAACAATCTAAGAGTTTGGCATCAAAGGAACAAATGAACGAACCGAAAGGAAAATAATGCTCAAGTCAGTGGCGTTCTTGCAATGACAGGGCAGCTCAGGAGGCACGGGAAGGACAGACCAGTGCCAACGTGGCCCCTGAAGGTTGCACCTGGTGGACTCAATGGAAACCTGGGGCAGAGTTGGACCTTCCAGGGCCTCCCTTGGGCAGTCTCTGGTCTTCAGCTTCCTTTTCCATAAAACATAGGGGTTACAACAGATGATCCTAAGGCCTATTCTGATTCTGCAATTCCATGGACTTAGTTCGCATGAAGTGCCAAAGAAAACATCCCAACAGGGAGCTCTGCTGTACCTCCTTACCACAAGCTATGTAAGTTACTAGAACTAAACCTGATGATGCCATGCAACACATTCTAGGTGCCCTACTCAGTGTAATATGGAAAAAGAACTAAGATGCACTGATGACCAGAAGATCTGAGCCTCATTTCAGTTTAAGCTTAATAAAAGGTCTAACCAATCATAACTCAATTGCTCTCCTTCTTGTGTGTGTGTCTTCCTGAGACAGGGTTTCACCATGAAGTTTAGGCTGGCCTTAAACAGTGATCCTCCTGCTGTAGCCTCTTGAGTGCTGGGATTACAGGGGTGCGCTACCACACTCAACCTTGCTCTCATTCTTTAATAAGTTTCCTTAATAAAAGACACAGAAAGATAAACTATACAAGTGCTAGGGGAAAAGGGCCTATTTCTCACTATGGACAGCTATGAAGGTATCTTAGAGATGGATCTTGAAAGGGACAAGTGGAAAAACTAAGGAATGAACAGTGGTAGGAAGTTGCATAAAGGCAGCACAGTCTGACAGAAAATGTGAGTCTTAGAGTTTGTGGACTTCATGTTAACTCCTAATCTTTCCTCTTGCAAGTCTGTTATCATGGACTACAGAAAGCCCTTCCTGGTCCTCATCTCAGTCTAGGAAGTTTATCTTTGTAATCCCATGGATAAATTACTAGACTCTCGTCAAGTTGATTTTAATCAACCACAACGAGAGCAACACAGGGCAAGATTAAAGACACTAAGGCATATTTGTAGTTATGGGGAGACAAGGGGTCCTAAGTCTAGCCATGATGACAGCTATCCAGAAAAAGGCCTCAGTCCAGAGCCTCACCCAGGTTTTATTCAATTGTGAAGAAAGGAGTGGCTTGAAGATGGGTGACTGTGAGAATAGTGGGAAGTAGGTGAGTGCTGTGAGCTGGGCTAGGTGGGAGGTCCAAAAAAGCCTATGCAACATGCAGAGAGAGAGATCTGCAGAGTAACCTACATCACACAATTGAGATAGCATCTAATGTTTTGGGGTCAGTACTTCAGCTCTGATGTGTAATCTTTCAAGCCCCAGGAAGTCATAGCCTCTATCTCAAGACTCAATCCCAGCCAACAGCATGGGGCATTGGCTCTTCATCCTATCTTCACCTGGGTCAAACTAGGGAGAAGTGGGTGGGGGTTCCAGGGAAACACACTTGTCATCTTCAAGACCACCACCTCAGCAAGACTGATATGCATTGCTTAAACCCAAATGAAGGGATACAGAAAAGTCCTAGCCAGCTCTGTACATGTCAGCACATGGATACAGGGTCAGGCACAGTCAACAGAGACAACTGCTCCTCTTTCAAGGACAGTCTCCCAGGTGGTCTTCCACAATGGACAATTGGGCTGAATCTCAGTTTCTTCAAGTCTAAAATAGGTAGAATCACTTTGTAGTTTTAAGGATTAAAGTTACTAGTTGTAATATTTGGCATACAGTAGTCACCCCTTAATAAAAGTTTTATTATTAAAGGCCTAGAGATAAGGACATGATGGAATGTAATAGACTGGTAAAGCAGAGCATGTGCCTGTTAAGGCAGCGAGGGCCCATTTTTCAGAGGGCCTAACTCATTTGTTAGTAAGAACTTGGTGTTGACAGTAGGTTTTGGTGGAGTCAGGCTTAAGGCTGCAAAGGGTTCAGTCTGAGGTGTAATTCAAAACAGTCTGTGAAGGAAACCTAAGGCTATTTTTTTATTTTTAGTAAACAGTCTACAGGGTGTTCAGGGTCTCACTACTAGATCAGACTCGTAGTGATCTGCCTGTTTACAGCCTCCCAAGAGCTGGGATTACAGGCGTGCGCCACCACACCCAGTCTCATTTGCTGTCTCAGCACACTCTGGAGGCGGGGCTGACACAGCAGGCCTGGGGATCGAACCCCAGGCCCCTGCGCCTGCTTGCAGACACTTTAATCAGCTGAGCTATTTGGCTAGCCTAGAAACCTGAGATTTAAAATGATGGAAAGACCTAGTACCAACAGCCAGGAACAGAGAGTAAATCCAAAGTTGTCAGCAGTGCTGGAAGCTTGGGAGCATGGCAGAGAGGGGGCATGGATATCAATAGGGTGGGAACAAAGGCAAGGACTCACAGGGAACTGCCAGAACCACTCCAAATTATGTGCAATGTAGAAGCAAGGCCGATGTCTTAAGCATTTTGACATGCATAGGTGAGGACAGGGTGGAACAAGACAGTTACAGTCAGATATGTGATCTGACTTCTTAACTCTGGCAAAGTAAAAGGTTCATGGGAGAAGAAAAAGATTGAAAGTACAGAGAAGGGGGCCTGGCCCTAGCTCAGGCCTTTAAGTGGCTGCTTCCACAAAGCTGTCAGACTCAGGTTGCTGGAGTTCGAACCTCACACCTCTCCAGCTGGCCAAAAGTGCCCTGAAGGCATTCGAGGAACAAAAAAAAAAAAAAAAAAAAAAAAGAAAGTACAGAGAAGGAGTTATCTCTAAAGGCTAGGTAGGAGGTGATATAAGGTTGATCCAAGGCCACATGCATCTTACGAAAGTAGAAAGTGTCATATGGGTACACTGTGGACACAGTTTCAACAGGACACAGCATTTTACAGGCTGTGGCAAAAGAATGTGATTCTTTTAAGGTTTGAGCTGCATGACCAGGACCACAGCGATACTCAAGCTTCTGTGGCTGGTGGAAGTCTTCTTGATGAGAAGAACTACTGATGAGAATAACTACAACGTACAGAGCTTATCATACGTAAGTCGTGTGCCTGAATATAAGAGGGCCACAGCCTCTTTTCCCTACCAGCTGCGCCTTAAACCGTTTCACCTATTCTGTGACAAAACCTGTGACTCAAGCTAACAGGGCAAAGGAGAACATCAAGAATTTCATAAAATGAAAAGAAAAAAAAAAAAAGAATTTCATAAAATGAGTCCAGTACTTACCTTTACAGCTAGTATTTTCCCACTTGGGACATGATATGCTCTACAGGAAGAAAAAAAAACAAAGTTACTTATGATCACTAAATACCCTATTGAAACGGGTGAGGACACAAACATCAAGCCAAGCATTTCTGTGGCAAATGGAGACATCCACGGTATGTTCAAAGAACTCTCATCACTCGAGTTAGTAGTTTACATTTCTGTGGAGCTTAATGGCTTACAAACTGATTTGTTATACATTACTTTAAAATAACCCTCCCAGGTAATGCTGGTTATTAATTTTCTCCTACAGATGAGAACTCTGAGGCATAAAGGAGTTAGGCAGTTTGTTTGACTTGTAAAGTGATTTGTGTCAGAACTGGACGTGAACTTGGGGACTTTCTGGCTTCAGCTCCTCTGGAACTGTCCTTGGGTGTGTGCCGGAGCAGCGGGGTCTCTACAGTTCCGTTCTAAGCACCATACAGAAGCAGGCAAAATGCAAAGTTTGATTTGTGTTTCTTTCAATTACATATAGAAATAAACTACATTACTTAATTTCACCAAAATAATCACAAAACACATAGAAGTAGCTATGGCTTATAATCTCATATTATATTATAACTAAGAAATTACAGTTATCAGGCTGAGCCACGTCACTCATCTTTCTTTAAATAGAGAAACAGACTCCTATCGCGCATGAATAAGGTACTGGGTTCAAGTCAAAGCACTATAAAAAATAAAAAAGAGAAAGAATCAACTATATACTCATTTATGAGTAAGAGAGTAAGCGGCTTGTTGAAATAAAAATCTCAAGTTTTTAACCAAGAGCTACTGTTTGAATGAAATGTGTCCTTTTATCCATACACTGCAGAGACTACATATTCTGATTCTTATCCAGAAAAAAACAAAAACAAAAACAGCCCTGTATACAAATGTCAAAATGAGCCAAGTAACAGTGTTAATGCAGGCAAGCACATATAAGTATAAAGAAGCAAATGAGCTTGGGAGAACCACAATTGGCCCTGTTGAGGATTTCATATATTGACCCACATCAAGACGGTCCTCCTTTCAGCAGGCAAAGCTAAAATGAGAAAGGGGCGGCAGCAGGGCAGGATGGAAAGTTCCTAGTCCTCCTCCGCCTGCTGGCAAAGACATCCACCACAACCCCAGAGAGCTTGTTTCTTACAACGCCAACATTACATATTCCATTATTATCAAAAGTAAAGTATCACTTTTTTTGTTCTGGCAAAAATACCTGATTGTTTGGTCAAATGTTTTGGCAGTTCCAGGTAAGTGTAATTTATATACAGTAAATGTTCACTTGTTTTAAGAGTACAAGTCAATGATTTTTAGGCAATCAGTAAAAGTTCAGCAATTGCCAACAAATGTTTTGAAAGTGACTGACTTCTAGAAATAGTTAGGGCCTACAGGCAAGACTAGGAAAACACACATATTTGTTTGTATTTGTCTACATATGTTATTTGATTTTTTTCTACTTAATTGGACAAAGGTTAAGCCAATTATAGAAAGTA